AGAGCAGGGGCTGGAGTAGGACTGGGAGTGGGCGTAGGCGTAGGGGTCCGCGTGCGGGTAGGACGAGTGGGAGCCCGGAGTAGGCACAATTGTAGGAGCAGACAGGGGTCGAGGGGCTGTGTGCAAGAGCTTGCCTCAGGAAGCCTCTGGGCCTGGCGTTGGAGGCTTTCCCCGATGGTCGAGGCCACGAATGTGCTTCGTGTTGGAGGCTTCACTGTCAAACTAAAAGTCTTAACAGGATTGGTATCTTGTTGCATGCTTGTCTTTTGGATGGAGAGGGGCTGTGTAAGACTATGAGCTGTGACTACGAGCTGTGATTGTTTGGCATCTTTGGACATCAGATGCTTGATTGGGGCTTCGGCTGCAACTGCTGGGGGGCTTGGCCTGGCTGTCATGGCAGGCTAAGGCTTCTGAATGCTGAAACGCCGAATCTGTGGCCAGGTGTGGGTGTCAGCGCTATCACTCCGGAGAGCAATGCTGACCAGCTGAATAGGACCTGCTACGGGAGTACTGTTGGATTCTTTCCGCTGCTTTCAGCAAGAGTAGGAGTCCTGAGCGCAAGTCTTCAGTTCCATGGAGGAAGGTATGCATCACGGAGGAAGACAATGGCATGTGGATCTTGGAGGGCGATCGAGCATGGGCCTTGGTCGCTGAGAGGGACACGTGTGCCAGAGTCCTTGTCAGGTCAAAGCACACATCAAGGTAGTAAGATGGACAACTCGAGCCGGATGTCAAGCGCGAGCTGCACGGGAAAAAGGGGCAAAAACGGACAAGCCTGAGGTCAAGGCCAATTGGCCAACTGGGGGTTTTATCTGCTCAGGTCATCGGTGTCAATGGAACCGAGACGGTTGATGCTACTGTAGAGGACATTGCCAGGCCAGCACCCACCCTTCAAGCAAAGCGGAGGCTTTTGCTCCCTGGAGGCTGGTAGGGGAGTCCGAGGGCGACTCGCCGCTACCTCGGATGTTTGAGATCATTTTCGCTGTGGCCGATACGTGCCTTTTGCTCTGTTCTGTTTTGTAATTTGCGTGGCAATGGCCGTTAAGATATGCGTGATGTAGTGCCTGTTGCTCTTGGAATTTAACGTTGCCATTGAAAGGTCCAGAAATTAGCAGCTGGCTGCTTTGCAAGATCGCCCGTGACTCGCAAGCCATGTTGCTGAGGGTCACCCTGACGCTTGTGCGTAACACCCGCTCTGGCCCAATCAAGGCAGCAGGGTGAAGTCAGACGTGTAAGGATTAGTGTTGGCTTCGCCTTCACAACGCCCCTCGGTTGATGTGTCTCTATTGGGCCTCTGAATTAAGAATACTGCCCAAGTTTCCGGCTTTAAACATTCTGGCTTTAAACATCTCCTTTTGGACTAAGATACATCTAGTTGAAATCGATAACAATGTTTTCTGGATAACACCATATTTGTGGGGTCCGGCGGCGGGATTTTACAACTGTGGGTCATGTCCCGAGTGTGAAGTCAACATTATGGGCCATCGACACTCTGCCAATATTTCTTTGCCTGATGACACACATGTACGGACTTCAAGAAGTCGGGCAATTGCAAGTTACATATTCGTGGTGTTGTCGATCCCTCTCGAAGACGTGTCTTGTTTCCGTCCTTGCAAGCAGGTTGTGATCATGCCTGACAAGAAGGTTGCAACAGTCCGTTGGCTTCTTACATGACTGCGTTGACAAACTGGTACGCAAAGGGAAGTTCAATTCTCCAAGCCGAGGGCGCAATGCTCGGTTGTCATCGGCAGTGGAGTTTGCCCTGGGCAGGGACCGGGCTGATAAGGGAGGTCAACATTGTCCATCAATCCAATCCATGCTGATATTGATGATGATCAGGTTGTATTATAGCATGCTGTGTGCTAATTCAACGGATGAAGGCCGTGCCATTTGTATCAAAATGCTTCGCTGCACACTGAAGCCAAACTCTAGACGCTATCATCAGCTGGCATGTCGGGCCCGCTGCCCAGTATGATTCGCGGCAGCAGGCCCAAAAGTTATTTTTGTTTTGGTCCAGCCCAATTTTACTCGCGTTTTGATTCAACAATTGTTGCTGCTCCTATCATGCTCCAAGAAGGCTTGTGATGCTTTGTTGCTTGGCGGCCCAAACTTGCCAAGTTTACAGTAGATGATCAGATTTCAGTTTTTTTTTTTTTGCGCATGTTTTTTATCCACCTGCAACACAAGTGACAGAGCCTGAACTGACACTCCTTCTGCAGTTCTCTGCAGCTCAGGATCCCTAAACGTTTCCCCAGAGAAGGTTCGAGCAAATTGTGAGTCTTGTACGGTCCTGCTACCAGGTGCTCCACTGATCACCAAAATTGGCTATCCCACATCATTGCAGCAGCATTTCATTGTACGACTCCGCGGCGGGCGGCAAGACTGGAAAATTGTCATGCTGTTGATGTAGTTGTGCTTTTGACCAAAAAATATCACATTTAGTTTTCGTTCCTTGCTTTGTGCAATTAAGAAAGACGTGTTTCTCCTCATTATGGATTTCCTTAATGCATCAGGTCTGTTAGTAATTAGCCTTTTTTTTGTTAACGCATCTTTTGCTGTTCCCGTGCTCGAGCGAGTTTTGCTTGTACGGTAGCTGTAAAGGCCAGCTCAGAAAAACAGGCAAAGGATAGATTTCTGCACCATCTGGCAGGAAATCAAGTATGGCTGTATTGATGGTTGGCTGGATCCTTGGAATTGCTGGTCCAGAGCGTCCCAGTTCAGGGTTGAGAACTTTGCCGCGGTATGGTGCACGAGGGAACTCCAGTTGTCACGGCACGTCACGAAGGTGCGGCACCTGCTGGCACAGAGAGCGCACCACGGGCTGGCTTTTCAAGCCAGCAGCCTCGGCAGCCTGCAGTACAGCCTGCGTAGTGCGAGAGAAATCTGAAGATCTGAGGCCATGCTCGGACATGATCACTTCAGACTGGGACAATGTGATGCCCATGGCGCTCCCCCGGCACAAGCTAAGGTTTTTCAGAAGGGTTACGGACCTCTTTTGGTGCCTTGAGGTGCTGTTCCCGAAGCCCGAGAAGGCTGGCGACGCGACCCTGCTGCAGCCCCGTGGTGCCGGGAGCCTTGGGAAGTCTTCGCCTTGTGTGCGTTCCTTGCTCGACAGAAGTGAGGTTTGATAGGTTTGAGCCGTGAGCTTGGCTGAGCACCTGAGAAGGCCACAGCCGGTGAAACCGGAAAGGTAGTGCCCAAGAAGTTGATTTCCAGAACTTTGCAGTTTGAAACTCTGTGCAGTTGCAGATCCCGAACACTGAGCCAAGCATAGCAGCGCATTTACAGCCACATTATGAAATACATTTGTGATGAGTCAGTTGGGATCCCCATTTTCGCCCCATCAGGCCTATTTTCGCAAACCACAGGGGTGCTGACCCATGGGTGACCAGGATAGCAGCTTGTGAATAAGGCAGTTTCGAGTCCTGGTTGGGACCTCTGGGGCCACTGCGTCAACGCCTGTCACTACAGACGTTTCTCCATTTTCACACCCAGATCCCCGCCAATCGCGAAGTAGGAAATTGGATGTCTTCTAGCTGAGAAATCTGAAAGATGTGTCAGCATAGAGTTTGTGAAAAGCAGTGGTGTTGCTGATCGCCGTTCAGCTCGGAAAAGGTTAGTAGCTGATGGAGCCATGTTGCTCAGAGAAACAGCCACAAGGAGGAGCTTGCAGAGGTGCCAATTCGTAGACATTTTCCTGATTCCACAACAGGGAATCTTAATCATAAGAACATTTGTGGTGACATGGAAGTGCTGTCCATACCAGTGTGATGCATCCCACCGTATGGAGAGTACAGTGAATCCGGACTAGTGCTGATCTCTGTGTTTTGTGTAGTGAGTCGTCTAGAGTGCGGAAACCACCTCGTTGAAGCATCGCAAGCACGGCCGGGTTTACCGGACCTTCTACTACGTAACAGTGTGACTGTGTTTGTCTTGGGCCGCCTGGAAATTTGGAGGAACCTGCATTGCAAGGAACAGCCAACCACCTGCCTCAGCGCTGTGCAGTGCAGGTACCGTTATGGCGCCGTGGTGCTGGCGCTGCTGGGTGTGCTGGGCAGAGCGGCCTTGCAGCAGGGGAGATTTCCTTGTGGTTTATGCGACGTCAGCTGGAAGTGCAGGGTCAGCGGGTATTCCTTCCAGATGCGCTTGGCCTTCATGTGTACCGAAAGATTGGAGTAGATCTGCTCAACCCCCTTGCGCACAACACTTCAATCTGGAAGCTTGGTCTGCAAGCGAGGCTTTTGTAGGCTGCGGGTGGGCCGGTGAGGCCTGCGGCAACTTTGCATTGTCACCGCGCGTGCAGCCTGTTGCAAGTTGACTTCGATTAGGCGAGGCAGTTGCGAAGACTTCCTCGCAGCGGCGTTGAGGACCAGGGGTGAAGTACACACCTGCTCTTGGTGTGCCGCTCATGTCTCTCTTGACGAGCAGCAAGAGCCCGTGCCGCATGACAGTGACAGAACAAAGATGAAGGCCACAAAGAAGGCGGACACGACCACCTGAAACAGAGTTGCAAAAGCAAAGGCTAAGTTTTGTTTCTCCAGAGGCCTGGCTTCTTTGGCACCAGGTGCCTTCCAAGAATGAGACTGATTTATTGATTGGATGGCGCAGTTCGCCCGCCTGAGGGTATGAGATCGGCTGTTATTGTGCTCTTGATTTCTTGTTTTGCGCTCGAGACTGCAGGGCTGTAACTTAGGAAATTTGTGATTGAGCCACCCTGCAGGAAACGTACCGAGAGGGCTTCGAATGCCTGAAATCAGGGCACCCGCGGCATGATTGTGGAGTCAGTTGATCTCATGCATTCAGGGCTTGAGGCATGCCGATGCTTAGAGGCAAGCGGACGGTATTCGTAAAACAGCTCTACATCGCAGGGTGTTGTGGAGCAGCGTGCACTTTCGTCTTGCAAGAAAGAAGTTCTGGATTGTGAGGCGTGTGTGCTGCGAAGATTTGGTTTCCATCCAAGCTAGGACCTTAATTAAGTAGTTATAGTTGGGCCCGAAGCCATGCACAGGACAGACTTCAAAAGAGGTGTCCGCTGCCTACAGGAGGCACGTAGAAGCCCAGCTCTGGCAAGTTCAGACAGCCTCGAGAGCGGACCCGAGAGGAGTCAGTTTAGCCTTTTAGCCTTTTGGCCTTTGTCTGCAGTTTTGGGGGTTTGGAGTGGAGCAGCAAGACTGCAACCCACTGGAATTGTGGAACATGTTGTTTCGTTCCAGTTTTCAGTTTGCGTGCAATAACACGATTCATCCGCACATGAAGATCGAGTGCCCATGTTCCCGCTGCAGGCCTCAGAGAAGGGATTTGCGGTTGCTGACACTGACTTGGGAACCCTGTACGCGGAGCAGGGGCCTTTGCAATTGGCGCTTTGATTTGGGCTTTGCATTTGGTTGTGTCAGGGGCCAGTACGGTGTGCCACAAGACTACACCCTGGCCAATTACCATCTCCAACGCGGGGCGGAGGAGGGCTGAATCGTGAAAGGCCTTAGACTGACTTTTCAGCCTTGCCCCTAGGGCGGTGACAGCCGAGCTCATTTTCAGCTGGGCGTCTTCAAGCTGAGGGGGAAGAATGGTTTCCCACTGGACCCTTTTTTTTCCAAGTTTTTGTTGTTGCTGTTGCTGTTGCTGCTGTTAGCTGCTCTGTTCACACAGCAGAAAGCACGTGTTGTAATTGGTGGCACAGGAAGAGTAGAGAGGCTATACTCAAAAGTGGTACTTTGCTCTGCAGGACAAGCGCGCCGCTGCCAGACATTTCAAAATTGCCGGCGAGGCTCGATGAGATTGTGTCCATGGCAAGAGACTGCGCAGCGGCTTATGCGTCGCTTGCGGTGACCTCTTACGAATGTGACCTGCCTCCCTGCATTGAGTGACCAGTTTCTAACCTCTAGCCTGAAAGCCCGGCGGCAAGCCTGTGTGTTGCAGTCAAGCTAGGGCCTTGAGCATGTGTCAGGCAGGATGTCAACCAGCGCTCAGAAACTTGTCGCGGATGTTCGCGACGGTGGGAGGTTTTGTTGCGGGGGATGGTACATGCACAGAGTCTGACACCTTAGATCACCTTAGTCTGTACCATCGAATAAAACTTGGACCGAAAGCGTCCCAATGCAGCCGCATGTGTTGGCTCGCAGGGCGATGGAATTCCTCAAGATGCCCGAATGGCGGTGCAGTGCCTAGTGCGGGCTTGCAACTGAGAGGGTTGGAGCTTGAGGTCATTTCAAACATGTGGGCTCAGCGCACTTCATGGTGGAGCTACCAAGATATGCAGCAACAAAGTGGCACTGCTTCTGCATCTTCAAAGCCCCTGAGGCTACTGAAAGGAGTGACACGATGCAGGAGAGATGTCCGAGCCACAATCGTGGATACATTGCAGATCCTCGTGTTGTTTTAGCTTTTCTGTACTCTTCGCAGGAGCTCCTGGAGAAGATGCGGTCTGGCACACTCGACAGGGAGACAGCGGACAAGCGGCTCAGCTTGTCTCAGCTCGAGCAAACTGGCGAAAACTGGCGAAAACTACTGAGCGTATGAGCGCATGCTGCAGGCTACAGGAACAGATGGAGAGGCTCAGGCAGAAGCTGGCATCTGACCCGGACTTCAACCCAGGGCTGGCACCTCAGAGAGCTTCGTCTTCAGTCAGGCCTTGTAGTGTCTTAAAGTTCAAGACAAAGAGTTCATGCCAGAGGAATGTCGTACATTGATTTTCTCCAGGGAAAGTTGCTGTAAACGTGCAGGAAGCAGAGGCCTAAAGATCGTGGAATTCAAAAGTGGCACGCTCATGGTTTGGCATTTTGTAACCCTAAGTGAGCAGTCGGTGCCCCTGTGAATTGGCAAGCTGCGTGACCTTTCTTTTTCTTTCGCTCGCTGCAGGGCTGACTTTGCCGGCATGTAGCACCCTGATGCGGCCGCAGCTGTGAAAGCAGCCAGAGGGAACACTTCAAGGGCTCCTTTTGGAGCTTTTAGAGTCTCACCGTTGACAGAGACGCAGAGAGAGGGCATCGCCAAAACGAGCATTTGGAGGAGGCCCTGAGATTCATGGTTGATTGGGTATCCAAGTGCCAAGCTGTGGCTTCGGAAACACACACGACTTGACCACACTGTGCAAGCAGAGGGTCAGTGAATGCATTGGATGTAGATGATGCCAACACTTCATAGCCGCCGGCTGAAACAGAAAGTACTTCTTTCATCCCAGCCCCGAGAAGAATTTTCCAGCCTTGTAGCCAGTACCCATCTCATGGAACTGGACAGTCGCACAAACTTCTGCATGCCCCACCTGCCTTCTAGTGAGGTGGTTGAGTATGTTGAGTAAAGGGTGGATGCAGAGGTACGTGCGCCTGCAGGATGTGTAGGGAAATGATGTGACAGCTGGAGCCATCCGAGGTCACCGAAGAGTTTCTAGGATCCCGAAGGTGTGATCCGCAGACCTTCTTTGGGGTCAAGTCCTGCGTGCACAGGGGCTGTAGGTTCGACCCAGCCTTCCTGTTCACACTGGATATCTTTCCAACTGAGCCTCGAATGCATTGATTGGAAAATAGCATAAGAGCTGCAGCGGTTCCTTGGACGGCAATTCAAAAAGCAGTATTTGGCAATCCTGGAAGCACTTGGCAACATCAGGCACAGCGTATGGCACTGATGGTCATTATACCAGTGGTTTACTGGCACTGAATGTTTTCAAGAGAAACAATTTCAACAACATTGTAGCTACTACTTACTAGTCTACCAGTTATAGTGAGGCCCTGAGAATACGATACTAGCAAGACTTGAGACAGACTTTATCATGATAGCGGGAGTCCTAGACTGACAGGAACGCAGAAAACAGCGGTCTTGTGTCCGCCTTTCGACGAAATGTGCCTCACCTGCATTTCGTCAGGCCAATTGTGTAGAAGCAGGTCATGTGTCCTTTCTTTTTCATTGCTACTTTTCTACTTACGACCACGCAAATGAGGTGCTTTGCCTCTCTCTCTTTGGTCTTATAGCCTCGAGAGTTGCAGAATTCACGTTGTAATTGCTGCGCATGCCGCCCTTTTGCTTTCAGGAAGCTGGTGTGTAGCCTTTGGCTACTACTCGGTGTGGCTCTCTCCGCAAAGGCGCTTGGTGTTGGGAATTGCTTTATTCACTGTTCCAGAGATCACGGGCCTCAATCTGACAGGGCATTCTGGCCTCACCCATACAGTGCGGCTGGCTTGCAGGTACGGCCTTCAGAGGTCGCACTGGCGACGGAGACCAGGGATTTCGAACTATCTTCAATGCCCGAGAAACGTTTCAGATCTAGATGATGAACAAAGTGGGACAGCGATGTCGTGAGTTGCTTTTTCCCTCTCGTTGAGTGCTAGCATGAGGGGTCCAAGGTGTAGCACATGAGAGTGGTTCGGCCTGAAACACACTGCAATTACAAACGTGATGAGCGCGGGTAGACCATACAGCTCTGGAACACATTTTTGGGCGCAGAGTAACCTACATGTTCATCGTTCTGCTTGTCTCGTTACTTTCAATGGCACTGTCTGCGACGCACCTGGCAAAGCTTGAAGGTTTGCAAATGTGCCCAGGATTACCTGCAGAAGCCGTATTTAATGCTTCTGCAAATACTTGCATTGCTGGGGCAGGAGGGCCGCGCCACTCTCAAGTTCAACACCACCCGTAGCTACGATGAGAGCTTGGGCAACCTGGCGAATATTTCGAGAAGTTGCGCTTCCCTCTGTCTGAAGAAGCCACCATGTCTGGTGGTTTGCCGAAGTCCTTGTCATGGCTACTGGAACGTGGAGCCGTTCCCATAGAGGGCTAACAGGCCGCAGCGCACAACACTGACAACGAAGCCAAAGCAAGATATTGAGTAGTTCTGCCCGAATCCACAGCTACTTGCTAGTGCCTCTGTAAGCTCCGAATGTTTGCTTCGTTCGTTCTGATGCAGCTGCAAGCAAGGTGAGTTGAACCATTCTGGCTTTGGAGCCAATACATCTTTCGCAATTTGTCTGAATTCAGATCGAAACCGCAGGGCACACGTAGTGCATCATTGTGCTGCAGCATGCTGCAGCCTTGGCCTTGGTGCTTTCGGTAGTCAGGGTTCTATGATCGCGATTGCGCTGGTTTGATGCAGGTCAACATTCTAGCATAAAGATTATGATGATATCTCATGTCCGCCCCCACAGATGCGGCATCTCTGTAGCCGACCCTGCAGGCTGCCAATCCAGTTCGGCCTAAGGAGGTCTTGCTGGCGACGGAGCTCAGCTTGGGGTTTTCGGATCGTCTTAGAGAAAAGAAAGACTTCTCTAATTTTTGTAGACTCAGGCTTTCATTATGCGACTCTTGTAGCACAGGAGGACCGCAACTTTCTGGTGCTGAACGCAACCTCTGACTTTGCTGTGGACACAGAGAGCAGGGGCTGCCTGGCAGATCTGGTGCCAGGGTGCATGTCATCACGGGTCAAAGATTGTTCAAGATTGGGAGCCCAAACTCTGGAATGGGTGGGGGTTTGGTACCAGATTGAGACTTCACTTGTATGATCCAAAGGTTGGAAGGTCTCGGCGTTGATCATGTCAACCCCACAGTGGTGGTTTATCCAGCTCTGAGGTCAGATGACTTCATCTCGCCGTCGATGCCGCGGAGGCGAAGTCCGTCGCCATGGCCACTGCGAGGCTTTGTTTCGGCTTTCTGATCTATCATTGTTTGTTGGTATTGTCTGGTTTCTGGGTTTCTGCGTTGCCCTCCTTCTGTCTGTCTTAACCGCAGTCCATCCTGGTCGGCGCCACCGTGGCCCTCCACCAGCATAATCACAACCGCTACGTGAACATGTCGCTCGGAGAGGTTCAGTTGAGATGAGAGCGGCTTGTTGAGCGTGCTTTGATGCAAGCAGTGCCTCGGTCTGCCTCCAAAAGGCCCTGACAGCCTTCCGCAGATCAAGCCTCTGTAGTAAGTCTACCTTGAATGCGGCAAGTGAATGCAAGCAATGCGCGCGGCAGACAAGGTGGGGTAGTGACATGGTTTGGACTGGCCACAGGAGCAAGGATGCTTGGCGCAAGAGAAGCTGTTTGCGGTGATCTTCAAGTTAGCCTGGCGTGTGGAGAGCTGTGCTCAGGACCACGGGGTGCCAAGAAGCTGGACATCGACTTTCTTTCGCGTCCACCGGAAGAGTCTGCATCCCAAGGGTTAGGATCGTGCAGAGATTAATTTCTCGGCGTTGCCAAGCCAGGACTGGCTTAGCCTCGAAGAGTTTGGACAAACAGAGCACTTTTGGGATGTTCAGACTGGCCGCTGCATGTTGCGTTAGCAGGGGTCGAGTCTTGTCAGATGAGTTACATTCTGGGGAATTGAGCATCGCACAGGTCACGGCCTAATTGGTCTTCACAATCCTCGTGAAAATCGATGGATCCGTATGAGAAACAATCGGGACCGGCTGTCACCCGGGTGGGTTTAGAGCGTTGAGCAGCTAGGATCATCATCGATTTGGATGACAAACTGAAGGACATGGATGGAGCCCCCTGGTTCCGTAGCTGGGAGACCTTCAAGGCTGTTGATGGCGGCGGCGGAAAGGCAGGAGAACCGAACGAAGCAAAAGCGCAGCTTAGGTCATTAAGGGCCTGCAAGCGTCCAAGCTTTGACACAGGTGGCCTTCCACTGCCGCGCTCACAACAGGTTTATGCGGATGCCAAACCGTCACCACATGGATGCTCGGCTGTGGTGCAAGCGTGCAAGCCTGCCACCATCCCAGATCGGGAGACACCGGAAAGTCACTCTGCCATGGCAATCGTTACATACATGTTGTAATGGACGCCAGGGCAAGTGCAATTGCCATTTGCTATAACACGCCTAGCTTGTAGATTGCAGCACGAAGGATGTGAGCGGTCATCGCAATTGGTGGCAACTTCCTCACAATTGGGGATGGGAGCGCTTCCGACCTATTTCGGTGCCCCAGCTGCAAAGAAAAAGTGAGGACGCGAAGGATGAAGTCTATCAACACTTAATTGACCCAGGCTTTGCTTCGGCCCAACTCCATCGTTGCGCTGTGGTGCCAGAGCTCAGCTCTATCTGTCATAGAGATTCTGCGAAGGTGCCAACTCATATCCGAGGAATCAGCCTCACCATCGCTTCATGCGCATGCATGCGCACGGCCGAATGGATGGATCTGCGAGGATGCGCATCAAGCCTGTGTGAGAGTCATTCAGCAAGCCGCTCTAACGTGAAGCATGCGGAGTGTAGACCACTGCCTGTTGGACCACGGAATCATGAAGGAGACACCTCCACCACTACCCTTATGGTTGGACGTGGGAGCTGTTCCGAGCGCATGGCTCAGGAACCCACGAATGAATTTCAGATGCTAGTTCATCAGGTGGCAGCATTCAATTCTCACATCAGCCAAGGTGGTGGATGCAGGCTATGGCCAAGTTGCATTGCACAATGCCGTCAGCAACCGTTTCGTGAAGATGGGTGGCGAGCCTTACCTGAAAGTCGAGGGAACATCTTTGGCTGAGACTTTGACATGCGTTCTGCCAACTGCAAGTTGAAGTTTGGCGGCTTGAGCTGCCTAACCTCTTGGATTCAAAGTTTCAATCCTGCTTTCGAGGACATGGAGCGCTCACCGCACCGCAACTGGTGGCAGTTGCCATTGGGCTCAGCCTTTGGCAGAGGCTGCATTTTCAAGAAGCACTTTCAGTGCTAAGGCCTGGCGGCTGGAGCGCCGAGCGCTTCACGGTCGTTGATGCAGGCCGTGGTGGCATATGATACATAGCTTAGATACTTTCTTGTCTTCCCTGAGGACACGGCCGGGTGGCGTTGCACAACCCTTGGCACAACCGTGCCCTGAAGCATTCAGCCATATTCAGCTCATGTGGAAGGTTTTTCAGTCTTTTGGTCCCCCATGACGAGAAAGTTTTTTTTTCTCGGAAGGACCGCTGAGGA